GTCTAAGGAGTAGACCCATCCGGTTCAAATGTCGTCACACTTAATTATTTATATATCGAATTACTATCATAAACAAATTTTCAAATTGGCATATAAAGGTTTACGTTTTCTGAGCCATATGTAGTCCAAATTGCGCAAAGTTGATTTCTTTGCCATTTTACTATTATGAACCAATTCCTACTATGAAATATTGAAAATTAGATAATTATCCCATATAAAAACTCTGTTTTCGTAGAGACGGTTATATGACAGGGAATTAAAACAAGTAAGAAAATTATATACGGTCGTGATCGAATCTTTTACATCCATCACCGTTACCCAAAAAAAGACATAAAAAGATAAGAACAAAATTTTCGTGCTCTATAATATGGAGTGGGGGCGGCTGATTTCTTCAATTTTCAAAATTAATGTTTTTGTCGCATAGGCATGTGGGTGTAGACGTGTCCTTTGAAAAGTCCAAGTCTCTACCAAATTTTTTCGTATATTTGTAGGCGATATCTTCACTTTTTCTAATGGGTTGCGCAGACAGACGGACGGACAAACGAACCGACGGACATGTTTAGGCGCATTCCAACTTTACGCCTTGTAAAGGTAATAAAAAAAAAAAATGGAGTTCTGATAGACGGTAGTACTGGGTAGGCGTCCACTTTTTCACATATTTGTACAGATGCTATAGAATTGCCCATGGAATATGCATTCAAATTTTTGTATATATATCTGCTATGAGTAATGTAAATGAGTAAAATCAATATTGAATTCCTTTCGAAAAGCAGAGGTGTTCTCAATTTACATGGCGCTGGGCACGTGTCCTTCAACCGATTTGGCCCATTTTCAATAACATTCTTGCTTGAGTCAAAACACGACACTGTACGAAGTTTCGTGATAATATTTTAAAAACTCGGACATATTGGTTAAGGTCATAAAACATGGGCGGACATCAGTCGGACTGATGGACAGACGAGAAAATGTACAACTTAATGCACTTTGTAGCACATGTGGTGTAGGGCACAAATAGTACACATTAGAATATTGAAAATTTTAAATTTGAGTGAGATGAGATCATATTTTTTGGATCTTCATATAAATGTACTTACAAAAAATATAGGACTTTTTATTGCATCATGGCCGAATTTGCACACAGTTCCAACCATATATGTACTTAAAATTGCTGTATTAAACTGCACTGATTGGACTATGTTGACCTACTTGTCTGGCAAGTCCTCTCCATATAAGGATTTTCGTAAAAAGTACGTTTTTATGTATTATAACAACAAGATCTATTTTGGAGTATTTTATGACGAAAATAGCCTCGGATATCATATTACAATCCGCCTTGCCTCCGCCCATTTGGATTTATTTGGTACTTCCTCAAAAACAAACGTTTCTATAGCAACAAAGCCCGTGTAAGGTACGTAATGGTCGGCCATTCCCGAATACGAATAAAGTATTAATCGGTTTTGTCATAGTGAGCAGAATCGGCCCAAAACTCTAAAAGTTTTATCGTTTTCGACTAAAATTTTGTTGAAAAGCAATTTAACGGATAAGCTTAAACTTCTACCACCACATTCTGTTTTCTATAAAAAAAAGAAAAGGAAAATTATCGGTTCTTCGCAAAATACGGGCGGAACTATTGACAAATCCAATTAATTATTAAAATTTAATCTGACAAGAGTGACAAGAAAAAAGTCTAGAAACGAATATGTTGCCCTTTGACATTCGTTCCTTTCCTTTTAAAAACCACTATATGGACAGACAGACAGACATGATGATGAACAATTCCCTCGACCATGAAAAATATCCCAGACCACAAATTTGTTCTTGTTAATCAGCACGTGTTTTAAGACAACTTAAAGCTCGAGTACAGCATTACCCGCAATATATGCTGTTGTAGGTTTTTGACTTGACTAAAATAAGTCCAGTGTTAATAGCGTAAAGCAAAAAACTCTTTGTTCCACTAAAGCTTTCATCCGAATAGAAACTAATTTTTTGATAAGAGAAAAACATTTTTTTCAATTCTATAGGAAGGGATTGTCTAACAAGCACAAGAAAATATTCAATTGTGACGTCATATGCAAAACAAAACGCCAGACTTGCATGAATTATGATCAAAATACCGTCTACAAATGACTACTAACCACACCAATACCTTCTACAAATAATTCATATATTCTCTGTGTACTCCTTGAACTCCATTTTTGCTTTGCTTTGCACAAAAGAATGAAAGCCGTAATTATAACCGGATTGTTTTTTTTTCGAGGTTCCATTCATCCAATTTTGTATTATACGATAGCTATCAACTTGTTATCCCCGGTCTTTCTTCAACAGTGGGAAACCGTGGCACTCCACGTTCGGTCAGCCGTCTCTGCATTCGACGTTCGTTCAGCACAAGTAGGAATTTTCATTGGTGCTTGCATGTATTTTGATCATTTTTTCACTTGAAAACATTATTTGTCGTGAAAAATTGATGTAGATTAATACTTTTCATTAGTTTGTCATTTTCGCCAAAAGATGTCGCTGACCAGAATACAGGCGAGCAGCTATTATAATAAATAGAGCAACAAAGAAGGCAAATTTGTTTAAGTTAATGCTGGTCGCGTGCGACCAGTGGGTATTTTTGATGACTATGATGATGATGATGATGATGAGTATACCCCGACTAAGTTATACTCATTTAGGAAGAAATCTTGGATACCTCCGGATATCTTAAAGTTATTAAATAGAAATTTTACATTTTTTCATAAATTATCATTAGCAAGGTTGGGACTATTCTTGCACTCAATAATATCTACAATTTATAGATCGACAAATCGTCTTATTTGTCAATTTATTTCATTTGATTGTGTTTAATCTATTGATTGCAAGTAACTGCACAATAGATACCCAACAACAATGAAAATTGGTTGAAAGTAAAGAGGGAGAAGCGATTACGCAGAGAAAAAAGCAATCAGACAGAGCGACTGGAGACGGAGCGACTAAACTGACCCAATATCTTTTCAACCAAATGGATGAAATATTTGTAAAGAAATACAAAGTCTTGATCAGACCATCCTTCTCTAGCTGCTTAAGATTTGCTATTCGGCACTCTTTGCGAGTTTTAGCAGTGCTATAATATTCCCAATCTATAGAAGGAAAATTAATGCCTGAGGTTTCATAAAATGCACAATTGCACATAAAATATATGGAAAAGAATGTTGTTTTAAATTACTTCGTTCCGTATTCATTGTAATAATTAAAAAATGTCGCATGCGATTAAATTGATTTCTGGCTTCATGTGCATTCTATCTACATACAATTTGTCGCATGACATGCTTGCGACATTTTATTAGTAATCTAATGATGTGGATGTGTATGAAATATGAAAATGAATATATGTTAACCTATGTTAAATGGTGTTGATGCGAAGCAACCGTTTCAAGCCGAATTCAAGTTTTATTATTAGTGGATTTTTAAGCAAATTACGTATTAAAATTCAATACATTTTATGTAAATATTTTAATATATTTCTTAACAAAAAAAAAAAAAAAACGCAACTTGCTGATGAATACCTGACCAGAAATTCTTATAAATAGTTTCCTTATGACAGCCTAAAACAAATTTGAGCAGACGTAATAGCAGACATAGATATCAGTTCAATTCATGCTACTCACGCTGCATTGAACGAGATAACCAATTATATCCAAAAAGGCGAGGAAAAATACCATTAAAATCGAATTATTGGAAATACTTAATGAATATCAATCCTTTAAACACCCCGCCAAGAAAAACACTTAAGCAATTTGCTTGCTTTCATACAGAACGGCGAATTCGGAAACAAAGAATAACTAAATTAACTGAAGTGAAGATAGCCCACAAGTTTTGACGATTGTGTCTTTGCTAAAGAAGTCGAATAAAACAAAATTGTGGACGATTTTGGTTCTGATAGGTTTTAGCATCTTTCAAAACATATAAAAAATCTACACTGGAAAAAATCGTTAAAACTTTTTACGAAACACTATAGTATACATACATACACTATATATAGTAAATAATAACAATAAATATCTTTTTTAAATTTTTATAATCTCAAGTATGATTTCTTTTTATATCGTACGTCATATGTGGTATAGGGTATGTTAAGCTTGTGAAGACATATGTAATGCGCTTAAGATAGATCCTCCTGTTCGATTTAGAACCATTTTCTGAATCGATTTAAGCTTGTCTGTCCGTCTATCCGAAATTTTTGAGATACTTTGATGAAATTTGGTACACTGACATGTTTGCATCCAAGGACGAACGGTTCACTTTTTTGACCACTCCTCATATAACACCCTCTTATATAACTCTTCTACGAAAAATCAATCCTTATATAGTAAAATGGTTAAATTTGTAATATTTCACAGCGAAAATTAGTTCGCAGTAATAAATTGACACAGAAATCAACTTTACCGAGTTTGAAACACGTAGATCTGTTTATAGGATCCTACCCTATAAAAGTAACTATTCTGAACTGTGCCTTTTGGGCACAGATAAAGCCTTTATTTACGAAGAGATCAAATATTTAATATACAGTTTCGTAACAATAAGCTTATACAAAAATAGGCTTTGATTTTTGTGTTCTATGGTAAAAATAAGAATTGTGTTAGACAATGTAGTGTAGGGTATCTAAGAGTCGGCTCAACCCGACTACAATGTTTTTACATGTTTTATGTATGTTTGTATTTCCTACTTTTGCTTAGTTTTTCTCATTTTGTCATTTTTTCAATTTCGTTGATTTATAAACTCCCTTAGCAAAGACGCTAACCGAGACAAGAATGTGTGGCTACGTTTAGTGGGCTAACTTCACGTCATTCTAAATTAAGTTTAAGAAATATTGTTTTTTCTTCTTTTTTTTGCTTATAACACAAAAGAATGAATTTAATAAAAATAGTTTTTAGATGCTATACGTGGTATATCAATAGGAGATGAGTGACCAAACCAACCGGTGCATATATATATAAAGCAGAGCTACTCGTACGAGTGACAACAGTTCTAAAACCACATTCAAGTAGTAGTGGCTTGAATTAATTCATCTAAAAACTAACGAAAATCCATCGATATTATTAAGTGAGTAAAAATATAGAAAATAAAATATTCAAAATTAAATTTTCTCCAAAAGCAAGTAAAACAGCTGCAGTGAGTACTGGACCACCATTAAATACCCTAGTCCACTTCGCTTAATGCAGTTATTCATGCGATGACTTTACGAAACGAGGTGTATATATGTTCGTCATTGGGTCAAAACAGAGCTTCATCACAATAGGTTGAACCCGCGAAAACCAGATAGACATACGGACAGACAAGCTTAGCATAATTTTTTAAATCGATTATCATGATTAACAGCGGGTCTATTTCAAGTCCCTCGGAGTGTTGTTTACATCTCTAATGTAAAATATCTTTGTATGACACTTGTGTGTGCGTGTGTGTGTCGTGTAGGGTACAAATATATTCATAGCTGCTTAGAAATTAAAATATGTTTCCGAGCAAAGAAAGACTAACCAGTTCAGTGGATTTAGAAAATGACGTTTATAACCACCTGGTTACGGTTAAGGTTAAGGTTAAGGTTAAGATCGCTGTTAGAAGAAGTGTTTTTCAACTCTATGTCAAGTTATTGCAAAGGTATGCACATTTTTTCGCAAAATATTGCACATTGTTTTGATTTTATTTTTTTTTATTTTTTTTTTTGTTTTGTTATATTTTATAAATTTTCTCACGTTTTTTTTTTTTTTGTTTAAAAATTTTATTGCTTTCGAACGAGAAAACTTTAAATAGCAGACATTTACCGGATTATGATAAATTAAAACAAAATTTCCATAAAAATATAAATAAATATATTGTTTACAACGGGCGTGTATCACTGCAACATGACTGACCAGACAAACTTACATATATAGACACACGTTTACGCACTAACCGGTCTCGGGCTTGTTCTCAGTGGAATTCCCAAAAAACAAAAAAAAAAAACAAATTATATAAATAACAACAAATATATAAATGAAATAGTCTAAATAGTATTAAGCCATTCGGGGCCAGGTGTGCTTGGCAGGTAACTAATGTCATTAGCTAACGCTTACTGTTATTAAGCTCAATACTTTTTTAACTGTTTGTGTATTACATATGTACATAGTTGCAAACTAGAATATTAAACAAGAGTCATCCGTTTAATTTAAACTGTTTTTTAAGTGCAAAGCACAAAGACGAATGCCTTCTTCTTCTTCTTTTTTTTTTTTAATGCAAACAAAGCATCGTTTCGTTGTTTTTTTTTTCTTTTTTCTTTTACATTTTATTTATGTTTATGAAAATATATTCTTAAATGAAATGTTCTTGTTTATTATCGATAACTTCCTGTTAACTGTTGTCGTTGTGTCATTGTTGTTGTTGTTGTTGTTTAAAAAAAAAAAGTAATAATAAAAAAGAAAACAGTTATTTTTGTTGTTTTCAGCGAAGTGGAATATTTTTTATTTCACGCAAGAACTTATGCTTCCAGGAAATAGTGAAAGTTTCACAAGCATTCAGTTATAGATTTAACTCAATTCAGTTATTTTTATAGGATTTCGGAGTTTCGAATATATTCCGTAAAATAATAATTATATAAGTCATTTTTTGACTGCAATAACGCAACATACGTGATTCAGTTTTTCTGCTCTACCGACACTCGTTTTAGATTCTTCCGATAGAGCTGACGTTTAAGGGGTAAAGAAGCAAAGTCACCTATCAATAAATGAGTTAATAACAATGCTCGAGACGCTTGTGATTAGTACTTTTACGTTACGGTACTTGAACGCTTGATTTAAGATTGGGAAGGAATAGTTCCGTACCGATTATTCACGAAAGCCATCCCAAATTGCATACATGCTTGCTCAGCTAAAGTAAATTTTTAAGACAATTTTCCTAATTCATGATCTGTCCGTCTTTCCATACCACTGTTAACCTGATAATCTACGCTTTTACTCTTTATACTTCTCTTCACTCTTACCAAAAATGCAGCCAATTTTCCCACTTTTCATCTACTGTTTGCCATTCTGTCTGTATGTCTTACCTCTTTCAAAAGCGTAAAAATTGTTATAGAAAAGCGAACTTGAGCATCGCCCAAGCGTGGCAAGGCTATCTATAAACAATTTAGAACTCTCCACAGAAGGATCTGACAGAATAATTTTACCAGAAATACATAAAAATTTTACAGTTACAAAAAATATGTAAGGGCTACTGGTCGCTCTGTGCATGACAAATGTTACTTGTTCACTTATTAGAGAATAGATTTGTATCCATTAGCGGAACATAATTTTTGATATTCTTTATCATATCCCTACTAAAATTGAAATTCGAAATTCATGCCATTTTATGATGTATGTAACCAGCCCTTCTTTCTTTTCTGCTTGAGCATTGCCAAAGTTTTAAAAATTGAAATAAAATTGTAACTAAACTCATATCTTCTTAGTCCAGTTTTGCACAGTCAACAGGCACGATCTACTCATAATAGCTTAAAATTAAAAAAAAACCGATTAAATTCAAATCGGGGCTAACCTAATGACATGAGTCGAATACACAAAAAGAAATCTTGAAAAATCATGCTGGCTTTGAGTTCACTTCACATATGTTTGCTCGAATCATGTTGAGGTGAAATACTCTCAACTGATCTATTCCTACGCTGTCAGTTATATAAATACTCCCGTATTTATGTTAGGAATAGCGAATTCAAGATCCGCTTGAAGCAGAATTAAATCTTCTTCGGTGAAGTGCATTTATTATTATAGCAGTTAAGAGAGTTTTTGGCTATCAAAAGCAGTGGCAAATAAAATTAAAAGAAAAATGTATTCAATAATCGAGTTAGAAGAAATCTTTTAATATCCATCACCAGCTTTAGCACGATATTTAATTGTTGGATAGAAAAAAGATAAACTTATTCTGGAAAAATATTATATTATAATTGGCTTGGAGGAAATATTTTGTGATCCCCCACTAGTTGAACTATTGCATTTGATTCCAAGAGAGAAAGAAGTAGAAAGAAGGTCACTTCAATTGAAATATTGATCGTACATATCGTACATATATTTTCAATAAGACCAGTTATACCCAATATAACGATACTCGATGTTTTGGCAGTCAGAAAGCACATGAACTGACTTAAGCAAATTTGCGACCTTAATCTGAATAGAGTAACGAAAAAAAAGGGAATATTTGACGTTAAGTTCTTTCTTTTAGGCAAAAATTTTGAGTTCACTATCATGATTTGTATAAACGCACAAGTAGATATGATCTAAGCGCTTGCAGTCCTATCGTCCTATCTGCAAGCATACTTTTAATACTTGGCGAATCTAAGGTGCTCTCTAAGCTCAGCAAAGTAAAGGCTATCCGCCTTTGAACTGATGACTTTTCGATGCAGACCTAAGGTATTTAGCGTGCTTTAGCGGGCTGAAGGCATTATAATGAACCGTGCAAGGCGTCACCTTTCTCGAGCTTTGACGTTCTCTGAAAACTTTCTTTCTTTCTTTCTTTTAGAACGGCAATGCTTTGAAATTCTACTGATTGTGCTTCCTTTCGAACAAAAAAAAAAAAGAAAATATTTTACAACGCAATCGCTAAGTAAATAAAATTCTTAACGTAGTAGACAGTCATTTTATTTATACCTAACCTATGCCACTAATTTGTTTATGCTAACAAGAATTGCATCTAATTAACATTAATTAAATTAAAGCAAATGTAAATTATAAGAGAAATATTTTTTTCGTAATAACGTAATATACGACTTAACTTAAATGTTTTTCTTACCTAAATGTGCCAAGAATTCAATACAGAAATACGTGACCGAAACGTGTCTTTATGCCGCTAGAAAGAAAACATAAATGAAGTAAATTTTAAATACTATCACGTGCTATGTATACAAAAAAATTTTTTTGTGAAATGTTATTTGCAAAAAAAGAAAAGCTTAGATAAACAATCAAAATTGTTCAGATAACGAAGCATAAAACTGTAGATCAACTCAAACTCAAGTCTAGGTTTAAGCTTAAAAGTTGAAAAACAAAAGCGGAAGAAAGGCACGCATTTGTATAACTGGATTTGGTACTTTTTTTTTTTTTCTCACAATTTCTTGTTGTTGTTGCTATTGTTGTGTTCTTTTAAACGTTGTTTACTCGATTAAGTCAGCAAAATACTAGAACTAAACTTGCACACACACATATATATACAAATTTATATTGCTTCTAGTTGTCAATGCATGTATATGAGGATTTAATGGGAGGGAGTTTTGATGCCTGTTATTAAATAAAAGGCACGACTTGCTATAAGTATGTTTTTATTATAATATAAGACTTACAGCGCGTGAAACATATATGGCATATAAACAAAATCATTTAAAATTAAATGAAATTAAAATGAATATAAACTAAATAAATAATTAGATAATTAAATATAAACTAATTATTAAATTAAATTAGAAAAAAAAACAGAAAAAATTAAATTTTAAAGCCTTTAAGAAATACTTTGAAAAAAAAGTGAAAAAAAGCAAAGGTTGGTTAAACGGTAAACTCAAGAGTTCATTAATTAAAAAAAAAAAACAAATCTTTTATTCCACAGCCTTTTCGCAAGACAGTCATGTGCTCTTCCTTCCGCTTAGCAACAGCTATTGTCTTCGCCGCTTTTGTTATGGCCTGTTACCTTATCGAAGGCAGCTACTCTTTGCCCTCGATTGGCCATTATGGCAAGCGTTTCGGTGAATATTTTTCTTCTTCAATTTTTTTTGCAATATTTTTGAAAACTTTTTAACTAATTTTTGTTTCGTTCATCATTTTTGCTTAGATTCGATTTCAGGCATCGATTTCATACAAATCTGTTTAAATAATTGCGCTCAATGCAAAAAAATGTTTGGGGATTATTTTCAAGGTCAAAGCTGCGCTGAATCGTGTTTAAAATTTAAAGGCAAGGCTATACCCGACTGCGAAGACATTGGATCCATTGCGCCTTTTTTAAATACTCTGGAATAAGTTGTAAAATAAAACCTCGCTTCACTCGGGTGATATATTGACGCAGGATAATGGCATTGCTCCTTAGATTTAATTATAAAAGTTTTCATTATAATTTCTGATGGAAAATAGAATTTCGTTGTAGAAAATGTTAGGCTTACCCGGAATACATTTTAGCAGGTGTGTTGTTAGCTTAGTGCTAAGGAGCTGCAGTTTACAATATTAGGTTTACATAGCGCAGACACGTAGTTTGTTCAAACGCAGTTTCAAATGAAGGATTGCTCACGCAGCAAAAGTTCACAATGAATTTAATTTATTTTTTGTTTTTTACTTTTTTAGAAATTATTAGCATACACTCAGGCTTTAGTTATTAATTTTAGTTAATAAGCCCTTTAAGTGCACAGGATATGCATTTTTTGCCAAAACGAGTTCCTAATATTATTTAATATCATATAAATATATACATATATATACGTACATATATATATACATACAAATAAAAATGTGATTGTATAAAACTAAAAATAAAAAATGTACCTTTTCAAATTAAACAGCATATGAAAGGAATAATGAAAAACTATTTAATATCCTTCCTTGGTAAATGGTATTTCTACCCTCTATGCCATCAGTTTGCTTGTAGAACAAAAGCAAAGACAATGCCAGCAGATAATTTAATAATTTAATTAAACCAAATACTTCTTATACACTGCAGTTCGTAGCTTTAATAACAAAAAGTTGCTTTAAAGAAATTTATGGCAGAATTTGGCGATGAATAAAATAAATTAAACCAACACTGCTAGCTGTCTTATCAAATCTTCCACTGTTTTCTCTTCTTGACAAAGAAACAAACACAGTGGTGGTTGGTGGTAACGCTATTAACGATTTTTATACCCAACAGCCTGTGCTGTACAAGGGTATACTAAGTTTGCGCGGATGTATGCATCGCGCAGAAAAATCTGACATAGATGCACCTTTTATTGCACCGGTCGTTTCAGAATCGCTTTCTCAGCCGATGACTATCCTCCTCGTTTTCCTGTGTGCAACCTACAGGCTGCAATTTTTGAGATATATCGATGAAGTTTGATGCGCCTGCGTCCTTTGGGTCAAGTATGAGCTCCTTTTGAAAATGGTTCGGGTCGGATAACTATTTTGATCACTTCCCGTATAACACATTATTTTGGAAAGTCTTTGTATAAGTAACTGTAGGGTGATTTGCGATATTTAATGCTGCGCTGTGGGCTACTGTTGTAGTTTTACTTGTTTTCCAGTACCGAACAAAATACTATGAACAAAATTTTTTTAATACATATCGGGATAACTACGTTTGTAATTATTGTAGAAAAATTCTTAATCGCCCTGAACTTCTGAGTCAACTTGGCCCCGCTATTTATCCTTTGATTATGATTGACCAAATCTGAGCTAAAAATCTTTGTGTTCCTTTAATAACCAATATGGCTTATAGCTGAAAAAAAATTTTTTTTTTGAATTAGGTTCCACTTCTCTTAATAGGGAGGCGTGTGGTTCTGTGAGAAACTGTGACTTCTATGACCGGAAATTCCACGTTTAAACTTTACACACAAGCATAAGTTATCCAAACAAAATTCGAAATCCCCAGTTTTCTCAGTTGTTGAATGGGTTAAATACGGGAAGACCTACTTTTCCCGCTTGTTTTTTCTACTATAGTCCTACGATATAGTAATTTGTGATGTATGATGGAAGCGTTACGATAGCATTAACATCGATTGTAAAGCTAGCAATTTATATTGGTCTACATTTCCGAGGTTAGTTAGGTGCAGTGTGCCATGCTCCAATTAAACTAGAGCTAGAATGTGTGCCGCTGCTCTATTCATCGGACCTTACATCCTGTAAGCAACGCTAGCTTCAGTCGATGATTTCACCTCGCGGTGAGCTTTCATTGTTGTAATGATTCCCAGAAAAATGGGTCTTCTCCTAACTGAATAATTTTTTCTCTCCGCGTGAAATTCATATTCTGTTTATAAAATGAAAGAAAAGGCACTCAGCCATGGGTCGTGCTTTAAAATATCTCGTATTATACCTTTTATGGATAGTTAATACCTTTTCAGTGTATATGTAAACAGAAAGAGTCAATTTTGGCATAGTTCTATTTTATCATTCGAAGATTTAAAAGTACCCTACCCTTAAGCAAACATTATTACATACACGCATATATACTTAAACAAGGGAATCTTCGGAGGCATCTGTTCCGGCCAACTGTAAGGGAAAAGCCTGAAATTACCTCTTTCCTGCCACGGGTTAAATTTGAAATGGACGTCAAATCTATATTTGTTAGCAACAAATAGGCCACAGCTGCTGGAAATTTCAATACATTCGAATGCATAATCGCGAAATTAACCTGAAGTTTAAATAAATGTTTACTAAGCCCGCAAAAGATGAGATCGGCCGATCAATAACAAAAAAATTGTGCAGTTATTATATACTGAATTAGTAGGTGGTGCAATCGCGCGCCTTAACTAAGCCAAGGTTTCTATATTTTTTCATTATACTCTATCATGGAACAAAAAGTAAAATCCGCAGTATTCTGTCACGAACACCATTGCATTACCTCGTTTTTCGCATCTAGTTTGATTCCAATATTTTGGCTTATTCGTTGACTCATAATCAAACTCAATGTTTCCGAATACTTTGCATTTATGATCGCTATAATACAAAGGCACATAAAGATTATTGCAATCAGAGGTAAATGCACGCGCGGCATCCCCTATTAGAGGTAGCTACGTTGAATGTATACATAGTTATGTGAAAGCGCCCACAATACATGAGCATATCTCTCTCTGGAAACTAAGTTCTAGTTGGTGAGTAAATTGAGCACGTGTTTCCTTGCAGATGAGGTTCTTTGTGTTACACAGTGTATGTGCATGATTATGTGCATGTCCAGCTTCAAGAGAGCTTTATAGTATACAATGTACTAATTAGCTTTCTAAATAAAATAATGACGATTGTCTGAAAAAGTTGTCTTCTATATTAGCATGGACAGTGATTTGCAGTCTTGCTGATAATAATTTTTCTATATATAGTAGGTTGGAGGGAAAGTTCTGTCGTATTTTAAAGAAAATATTTGAATTCGTTTATAAAAATACGTCTTTAATATTAATCAATTATATATGCTCCGTTATTTGTTGCGACCTGTTGCCATCTTTCAGGTAACCTGTGAATTCCTGTTTTGTACAAGTTTTCGTCTTTGGAGTTAAAATAGTCATCAAGTGCCTTAGAAACACTTTGAAAAGACTTGAATTTTTTTCCCATTAGATAATTTTGCAGACATCCGAACAGGTTATAATCAGATAGTGCAATGTCCGGTGAATACGGTGGGTGACTAAGAACTTCCGATTCCCTAACTATTCCTTTTCATGTGGAACCCAAACACCTTGCTTGAACACAAACACAAGAGATTTAATGTGATCTCCAGCAGTTGCATGATGAATGCCTAAGTCTTCTGCAATTTCTCGACTTGTTAAATGTGGATTATTTTCCAACATGGATAGCAAAACATCATTATCGATCTTGGATGCTCGTCCAGATCGATCACTTTCTTGTTCCGGAACGAACTTTGCTAAGCCATCTTTGACAAGTACGAACTACTGGCATGTTTTTCACTTTAAATATCACAAGTAAATGATGGACGGTACAAAAAAAAAGACTCCTTTTATAATATACAGCAGCTAAAAAAGCAAAAAAATATCCGAATGACTCACTAGTCAGATATTTTTTTTATTTAGAAGAAAACTTACCTGCTTATTTAGAATACGACAGAACTTTCCCTCTAACCTATTATTTTTCTATATTTTATTTTAAACGGTCAATCCGGTTAGTTATACTTAATCCGATCTTTTGTGCGCCTAATTTGCTGTGCGATGAAAACCGAACACTGAATATATATTATGTTATGTAATTGTAGCCCTGTCTTATTTGACTTATACACAAGTCGAAGGCGGAGAAATTACAAACATATTTCACATTATATATACGCTTTGTTTGGTTGACGAGTATAACTGCCATCACTAGTAAGATGAGGATGGATGGCTGACTGATTAAGAAAGTTTCGTTTATGTTTTTCGAATGTTTTCTGCATAGATCTCTACTTTTTATTGAACAATTGAAAATACCGAAGACGGGCGTTTTAACACCTTCTAGCGAACTTTGATTGATTTATATTTGGCTTAAGTATGCTTTGGATGGCTTAACAGCAGCCAGTTTCCAAAAAAAGAGGAAGGGAAGCAACTTTAACAGCTTTAAATCTCTAATTAGAGAGCTCATGTTTTAAATTTTATGGGTTGCTCTCCAATCAACAAAGTTTCCTTTTCTTTTAATACAATATTTTCTTTTAAGCAAAATTTAAAAAAAAACCTACATCCGCCAACAATTTCTAGGATTAAGTAATAAGGTATTTTTGTTTCCTTCCGCAAACCTGTCATAAGCACACTAATACCTTCCACAAACTTGTCATCGTCTGCAAAATTTAGAAGCAAGTTAGCCAAATATTAATGGTAGGGCTAGGTCCTTTGCTTTAGGCACCAATTGAATAACTATGCTGGGCGAAGTGGCGTAGGGTCGACTATAACGTTCTCAGACTTATTTAAGGGCAATGGTTTTTATACTACTCTATGGAACTCGTAAGATCAACCAAAAATATGTTTGTCGCCTTCAGGCACAAAGTAACCGATATCAGATTCCTTCTTCTGATTTTCTAGTGGTTAATAAAGGGGCGGGATTTTGCTGAATCATATCTGCCATAAGAAGAAGAATTATTTGATAATTAATCTTAAAAGTTTGCTTTATAGTCGAGTTATGCTCAGTTGATTTAAAGCTTTTCTTAAAACCTTAATGTGTGCTGCAGCTAAGTTAGTGTATAATCCAAACACTTGCCTACTTTTAGGCGTTCTCTGAATCATATCCTAAAAGTGTTTTTTTTGGGTTTAGTAAACATTTCACTGCAATAAGTAATTTTTTTTATTTTTTTTTTATTTTTAATATATTATACTTTTAACAGTCGTCCCGTTCGAGAAAAAACTTAACAATAATAGCTCATGGTTATAAAAATAGTCTCTATTAACAAAAGCTTTTAAATGCTTTTCATTTCTTTTTATTGTTTTTATTATTTTTTTCTTTAACTAGACATTATACGTAATATTTACACAACATAAAACAATAATAAAATAAAAAAAACAAACAAATTAAAATAAAATAAAAAATAATTTCGTTTAACAATGAACCGAATAAAAGTTATTCAGTCTATAGTAAATAGAATTAAATAAACAGCAAAAAAGCAAGTAAATTAAAAATATAAAAAAGAAATCAATTAAATAGAAAAAATAAAAATAAAAAAAATCAAGAACAGTGACTTAGAGTAGAAGTGAGAGTAAAAGGAAGGGAAATATTTTCATTTCTTGTTTAATCTTTTTCTTTCTTTTTTTTTTGTTTTTAAATATAAATAACGATTTTGCTTACGATGACGAAGATAAGAAGAACGGATAAAACTTGGAATTGTGATGAAACGAATATGTGCTCCTTGAGTATTAAGAGACAGTACGCTAAACACCTGATTATCTAAAATGTCGTTATTTTTTACGGTAATTTAACAACGTATCGGGAATTTCGTTAATAAAGTTCTGCAATAATTCAGGAAACAAAATTAGGTTAGTTTCGTGTTAGATTTAAAATTTTTTAGGTTTAACTTACATATACAGGTGAGGCTATATCATGACTAGCATAATCGGCCCATTTCGTTAAATCTATTGATGGGATAATGCCGCTCTTACATGGTACACGTGGGTTTCTTTACGAGAAGTTTACATGTTTACATTAATTTTAGTAAAATGAGAGGAAAGAGAGAAGGTATTGTTTTTTCTTTTTTTTAACTTAAACTTACATTTCATGATCCGGTAAAACCATGGGATAAATTTGCACTGTGTCTATTAGATCGGTATTATCGCAGATCAGTCGAGACAATTTCGCTTTCCGTATTTCATGCAATTGATCCGGTGTAAATGAAGATGGTTGATTGGGTAGCTCATACCAAAATCGATCCCCGCGTCGTAAGTAACTCATTTGGGTAGCAATGACACAAGCAAAAGTAGGACCCAACATAGAACCAGGTAAAGATTTTTCTGAAACACCACCTGACCATAAGTCTATATCTGCCGGATGCCTATAAAAAGGATATTCTATTGAAGAATTTGGTCTATGAAAAAAATTGAACCCGTTCACTTACTCAAATATACTTTGATATCTAAGTATGGTGTCGTTAGGCATCGAACCAAACATCTCATCCCAGACATTGGCTGTAGGTAGACCGCAGAATTTACGAAATTCCATATAGCCAGGTATACCGAACTCTCTACCTCGTTGCATGTTAAATGAAACCAAATCCATACCGAATCGAGCACCTTCTTTTTTAAACAAATGATTGGTTACTTCTTGCGTAATTGAATCGTCCATAGCTTGGGCTACTTGATTCATTAAACCCATGAAATATTCATCGAACACCCCGGCTCTGTACAAGTCATAAGGTCGTCTAATTAAGTCCGATAAACGCTTTGAAGCTATAAACTTATGGGCCTTTGACCAACGTTCCACCGCTGTAGGCAATAACGAATGACCGAAACGAAACGCGGCTCCAGCAAATGAATCGATTATTCCTGGGTTGACTTTGTGATCATAACCGTCCCAATAGCCATCCTTTTGTAAAACCAAGCCGAATTTCTCCATTACTTCTTTACCCAAGAGAATGGGCAAAAATTCATTGAATGTTATATGCTGCACGATGGCGATATTAATTCGTCGGGCTTCTTGGAATAGAGTCTCATCGTCCCAATGTTTATTGATTTGCGATAATATATGGGCCACACGATTATGTTCACGAGCCATTAGCGTATGCATGCAAGTAAGCACCAATTGTTCATTCACTCGAATCTCTCCCGCCTCGAAACAGAACATGCTTTTATTAGGGCGAGTACAGCCCTCCTCTGGTATGTCTAATTTCAAAGGCAATAGATCTTTTAAGCCATACTCTTGGAACACTGGATTCATACGTAGCAAGCCGCCGTAACCAGTACGCAGCTTGCGGGCGAACTTTTCACTAACACCATAAACTGTGTTGGCATCAATTACACCGGTTAAGGTATTAAACTGTTGGCGAGAACCTACGTAAAGCAAAAATAAATAAATTGAAGAAAGAAAAAAGAAAGACACAGAAACAGATAAAGACGAGAAACAGAGAGAGATTATTACTTGGCGCACTAAAAGGGAACCCTTTTCCCCTTTAGGGAAAATGCCCCACATAGAGATATTTATCTTATTTAATAATTATACAAAATGTTTTTGAATGCCAATAATTTAAAATAAATGCAAATAGTTGACATGACAATTAAAATTATTCACACACTCGAACACATGGGCGCCTAATGGAACGTTTTTGTGATATGATTGACAGCTTAACAAAGCACCTTAAACGTCATAAACCGTAAAGCTAAGCAAAGTTATTACACGAGCTCATGAATGTATTTTAACCGAATACGTATACATATATATTGTGTATAGGGGAGTGTAAGCTATGCTTGTGGAAATTTAAATAATCGTTGGTGGCAAGCCCTTAACACGATTTAATAATAAAGGAAAAAAAAAAAAAAAAGGAAAACAAAAACAAATAATTTTGAATTTTAAAAATATTTCTGTGTTTCTCTTACACATGGACAACTTACCCAATCTACAACCGGGTCGCGGTGATGGAAAGCCACGTACAAAATCAATACACTTTATATTAAATAAACGATAGAAATAATCATCGTCGGGTACACGTATCTCATCGCAATACGGATGTTTTAGATGTAAAGGACGTTTACAGCATTCCTCAGGATCGTTACGATTAATGGGATCTAAGAGACTTCGTTAGAGAGCAGAAATAAATTTTTGAGAAAACAAGTTAATGCATACCTAATGGTGTACCAGTTAATGTGAAATCGTGATCCATAAATTGACCCCAAGCAATCACCATCACGGTTCCAGCATGATCATGATACCCGTCATCGGGATGCATAGTACGCGATACAACTCGGGAAAATGGTAATTCGCGTCCTGTAATAGAGATGCGAGGCGCATTGATGCCATCAGCATAAAGGGGTCCAATCAAACGTTGAAATGGGGCCATAGCCGCTCCCCAAGTCGGATGTTCTATGTTATTGCATAAGCCATCGAACCGCCTGTATTTACCTGGACGACATTCCACGCCCGAAAAGAAAGGCGGACACACTTCTCTAATTAAAGTTTTCGATGTGTCAATGGTCGGCAAACCTTTCTCGATTTCCTCATAAGACAGACCATAACTGTGTATGAAGAGAAAAAGACAAAAAGCAATTTTATAGAAAAATTTCAAAAATTTCAAAAAAAATTATTAAAAATAACAAAAATGAAACTAATTGAAATTTTTTTCTAATGAACTAATTTATTTATTTTTTTTTTTTTTTAATTTTTTCAATATGAATTTTTTTTTTTTTGAATGGTTTTTTCTTTTGTCTGTTATAATTATCATCACGTATATGTATGTGCGTAATTATTGCACAGTTAATGGGTTTAACTACCACATGGCAATTGTTTTGTGACTGCAGTCAGACGAAAGACGCAAACATACTTACATTCTTTTCATTTTATATTTCATACATAATTGTATTTTTATTTCTAATCTTCGTGCCATTATCTGTTTCTCAAAAAAATTATGAAAAAATCAATTTTTTTTTTAAATTTAATTTTTTACGTCTACTACATATTCTCGTTTTTCCTGCAAACCAAAAATTTATTGCAAAATTATTAAATTGTTTGATGTCAAGTTGTTTTGCGTTCATTTTTGTTTTTATTTTTCGAATCTTTTTTTTTTTCTTTTACTTTGTTTCCCATTCATTTCAGTGTCTTAGACGAATTTAGACAAAATATGCAATTATCGACGCATTAGGTCTTGCTCTATGATATGTTCGTGTAATATATATATATATATATATATATATATATAGATACGAATACACCTATATATCTACATGTATATAGGTATATATTACATGTATATATGGGTAGGTTTGTGTGGTTTTGTCTGTTTGCGACAACCATTTGCCGTTTTAAATGCTATGCGTTTGAACATAGTTTAAGATAAGCTGTCAATTTGTTTGTTAATAAATATACGAAAAAAATTATTTCGTGTCTTTAACGCACACATCATTGAATTAGAGATAGCAGTGAGGAAGCGAGATATATATATATATATATATGTATATATATATATACATGTAAACATCTGTGTAAATATACATTTGTAATGCGTTTAATTACTCCACATAAACGTGCTTTAAGTAGCTTCGTAGCTATGGTTTCCAGTTAATTAAAATTTATCACATCTTGGCGCATGAGTTGCACTCGTTAAGTGTAAGACGGAAAAAGGTAGGATACGAGATAAACAAAGTATGTAAATAATAAAAAACAAAAATTGGATCGTGTAGGTTAGTAGTAAAAGTAAGGCGGAGTTTTAGTGAAAGTCTAAAAAGACAAGTATACAAAATAATGAAGTGAACAGCAAAGGGAAAAGGCAGGAAAACGAGGCGAATGCTATAAGATAGGAAAGAAATGGATAGGATACAGCTGTGTCGGGAATTTTGTGAAGCTTTGATGAAGCCACAATAGGATTAAGATAGCGATGTCAAAGAATTACGAAATGTGGTAGAGACTTGATGGAGCTATGCCTTATGATAGGACTATGATAGGTTTTGATAAGACTATGGTAGAGATATAATACTACGGCATTACGGGATTGGGTGGCATGAAGTCCGGATTGGAGAGAGCTTCGATAAAGCGATAGATTATAAAAGGATCACAATAGAATTGGGGAGAGAGTGTGGAACATCTAAGATGGAGCTGTTATATGGTCTTGATGGGATTATGATAGGCTTGGAAACAATTATGATAGCGTTGTTATAAGGCTACGATAGAGGCATTATTACAATTTTGATACAATTTTGGTAAATCTGTAAGAAAATTATGGCAGAGCCGCGACCTGGTTATAATAAGCTTACTATCGAGCTACATACTGCGTTATGATTGTTATAAGAGTTTATGAGAATTATGGTAGGGCCGCGATAGGGCTTCAACGAAACGATGGTAGAGCTTTGAAAGGATTTGGTAGCGATGGGAGCAAAGACAAGATTGCGTTAAGACTATTATAGAATTATGGTAGGTCTATGGTAATCCTGAGAATGAGAGAATAATAGCGCAATAATAGACTACGACTACCATTCATGAAGCGTTGTGATTAGTATGCTTAGCATTACTAATTATTAAGGAAGAGCAAAATCAAAAGTTAAATATTGGCAGCTTTGGCTTTAAAGAGCAAATTCCCAGACTGCTGTAAAACCGTTTAGAAGAATGATTTTTTCATCTATACTAATTAAAAAACTCTTCTAATTTGCGCAATATGCGAGGCATAATTTGGTAGACTACAGAAACTTAGCAAATCTCATATGTTATTATACGGATGAACTTGGTATAGGCTCACAGACGGCGAAACATTTTGGAGTAAGTTAAGCTACACGATTTAGTTTGCGTGTTTAGAGCTTCTATGCGTGTAACTATTACTGTGTAACAGTAGAAGTATGACGGTAATATGATAAGCTACGCTAGGAATTTGCCTACGCACTCTAAATGAAAGACATATTTTGATTATTGCAGGCATAATTTAATGACTTATGCAGAATCGTGAAATTATAATATATTACATGATATTAGAATAACACCACAACTTACTCTAAGTAGAAATAACTAAGACGATGAATTATAATAAGTCGTGTGAGCAATACAACTGAATGGTACTTATTTTGGGAAATGTATGCATAATTCAATGACTTATACAAAGCAACTTCGACATAACTCAATAATGCGAAACGTGAGCATAACACCGTGATTTATCCTGAGCAGGAATAGCGTAACGCGATGACTTATACTAAGCGGTCTATTTTGATCACTGTAAGTTTGTTTGCTTCTACAAAGCAATTTATAATTCATTTTAAATTCAATAAGCTACATCGAGCAAGCTTACCGTAAGCATAACACTATAACTTACTCTGGACAGTGGAAATTTAGCTGTGTAGCACGAGAACAATGTATTCTAATTTTCAAGCTGTTTGACCTTTTTAAAGAAAATATTCCAACATTGTCATGCTGTAGACAATACAATAACTGGTAGATAAGAAAAACGAAAATCATACACAAATACATAAACACAAAAGCATCAACTCGATTAAAGCGTTTTTACTTGATCTGCTCCGCAAAAGTAGAGTTCATTTGACCATATATTGTATGGACGTTATATCCAATCGAATTACCTTGCGAAATATTTGCAGATTAGGTTTTTCCAAAATTTAAGCTTACATATATATGTATATATATATACATACCCAAACACATATGCACGCACACATATATAGATGCACGCGTACAAGCATAGATACAAGCAAGTAAGAAACATTGTGAACAGCTGTTTTTTCCCTCCTGCTATACTATTGACATGAATTACACACCGATAGCATTAATCATTAGCAACTTATGTATGAACATGTGTTTAAATATGAATGCATAAATGCTGCATACACAATTGCACATACTTGCTTATACATGTATAAAATTTTGAAAACGTTATTGTTAAACCCACTACTGTCAAACTAGCACAAAAAATAAAACGAAATCACACAAAACAATAATATTCACACAGACAAAAAGAAAAATAAAAAAATGAAAATATAAAATCATTAGCACGCAAAACCCACAAGAGAGAGAGACAAAAAATAAATAAATAAAGGAAACCCCACAAGAAACTTAACATAACATAACAGTTATATGCAGCCGCACATATAAACGAATATATATATATATATATATATATATAAATATACATATATGAATAGATACATATATATATATATATACAAATAAATAAACAAATGCACGTAAATTTCTTATGTAATAGCAGCAGCAGCAGCAGCACACAAATCGCCTTCAATTGCATTGCATTGCATTGCATGGCATGGAAATTGTTGCTGGTCGGTCGTTGTTGCCTGTGTGCCAAGAGATGCACATCAAACTGTGACTTTTTTGCAGTTTTTGGTTATTTTTATAAATTTAATGGAAATTGTTATTATCTCTCTTTCTTCTCTCTTCTTTCTTCTTTTGTCTCTAGCGTCTACTTTGACTCCGACTCTGTCGTTATGCTTAGTTTTATTTTCATTTATTTCTGTCCTCTTCTACATGATAGGAAATTTTCCAATATTAATGAATGAGAAGAAAACTTGCTTACATATATATAAGTCGAAGTGATGAGCTGGTTTGTCATCCAGCCAGTTCAGTGGGTAAATGTGCTTTTCACAGCCAAATAAAAGTGATAAATAAAATATAATTTGCTACAAGTTAATGCATTCATATAAATTTTATTAGTTATACTGCCAAAAATAAAATAAAAAAATGATAAAAATCAAAAAAAAAAAAAAACAAAATCTCGACTAAAATTAAAACTAAAACTAACTAATGTTGTAACACTTTCACTGTAACGTCGCTTATTAATTTATTGAGACTTTTATAGCATATTTTGTTCGTTCGTTGGTCGTTGGCGAAAAGAAATATGAAAAATAAGTTAGAAATATTTTGGTAATATTTCCATCGAACACTTTGCGGCATGCATGCATGCATGAATGAGTGAACATTAAGCACACGACATGCGCAAGCATTTAGTGTTTAATCGTCATGTAATTTTTGTGTTGTATAACGCATAACATCGCAAACATCATCACTATAATCATCAATTACACTAAACACTACAAAACGTTGAATCATGCTAACGTGCTATAAAATTGTTCAACTCATTAATGGGTTTTCTTCTGATTCGTTTCTCTTCTTTTTTTTTCGTTATACCTTCCACCGTACGGTTGTGTGTTTTCATTTTATGAAAATTCTTTCAGCAAGCAGAATGAAGTTTCAAAAGCCGTTCTAAAGTATACATTATATATTCTTGATCAACATCAAGCGTTGGTCTAAACAGGTCCATATGTCTGTTGTAAACATTCCCCCGAATTTATGCAAAAAGCTCTTGCGAGCAGCTTTAATTTAGCAATGAGCTAAATCGGTCAATCTACAGTACAATTTAAGCTGAGGACACTTTTCCTTCCAAGACCAAAAAAAAATTCTGTTGTTTTGCCATTGTAAATAGACGCAACGACAAAAATTTCCCCATGTATAGTACGCATGATGTGTTCAACAAGTGGAGAAATCTGCCAAGCCCACCCGATGTATATAAATG